GGGCGTGGGCCTGGGGGCCGCGGGCACCTGGCCGGCCTGCTTCCCCGGTAATGTGGATAAATGCGGCGGGCGCTCCTCCGGGAATGCAATTAGGCCGGCAATTGAGTTCATTGGCCAAATCAAATTCGGGCGGCTGTGCGAAGTCCTTTTCTATTAAGTGCTTTAACATACATCACCCCTCCGGTCTGTTCCTAATCCCATTACCCACTGCACAGCCCGAGGCTTCCCAGGGAGCAGGACAGGGGCTGATGGAGGGGGCTGGTGGCTCCCGGGGCATAGCCTGGGGGTGACATGGTGGGTGCGACAAGGTTGACTGAAGCAAAACCACTTCTCCGCTGTGGAAGGTCTCCCCCCTAACCTCCCCCTCCCCCCCCAGGGAAGGGCCAGGCCCAGGTGCTGGCCCAGGTGCTGGCCCGGGTGCTGGCCCAGGTGCTGGCCAGGGAAGTGTGAGTGGCCGCTGGGCATGATGGGGCAGCTCTGGGCGTGGTGCTAGCGAGCCCGCCGGCTTCCCCCCCTCGCAGCGCCTGCCTGTGTCCCGGTCCCTTTCTTCTCTGGAAGCGTCACTGACGGTGAGTGAGCCTCCTTTGTTCACGTGTGTAAGTTCATTTGTTCGTGAATGAGCGAGTGAGAGTCAGCAGGGCACCGCCTGCCCAGGTTCTGGGCGTGGCCTGGCAGGTGCGAGAGCCCGAGGCAGGCCAGTGCTCTCAGGGCTCAGAGCCGGGGAGGGGCCATGTGTGAGTGTGAGTGTGTGTGTATGTGTATGTGTGTGAGTGTGTGTCTGTGTAGCTGGGACAGCGCTGCTCTCCTTGAAGGTCCGAGAAGGGAGGGAGGGATGGTCCCCGGGCCTGCAGCCCCCGGAGCGCAGGGAGCTGCTGTCTGGGCCAAGCCTTGGGGGGCGAGGAGTTTGCCAGGCGGGAGGGCTGGGCTCCAGGCAGAGGCACAGCCCAGAGGCGGGTCCCTGGGACCCAACACCAGGGGGCTGGTCCGAGGGGCCTCGGAGGTGGGGGCGGCCGGAGTAGCCTTGATTCTGAGTTCATGGGAAGCCGCTGAAGGCCCGTGCGGTAAAGTGACATGACTGGGTTTGTGTTGGGAGAAAAGTCCTCCGCACGGAAGGAGCAAGACACGGGGTGGGAGACTGGCCGTGTCCCCAGCAAACTCCTGGTGCCCGTGCGCCTCCCCGAGGCGGGGTGGGTGGTGACGGGGTCCGTGTTAGAACCTGCTCGGCTGAGAGATGGGTGAGAGGGACAGAAGGAGCCAGAGGCGGGCGTTTCCCCGCGGGTCTCGGGGCCCCAGGCCCTGAACGGGCAGCTCCAATGGGGAGAAGCTGGCCTGGGCTCCTGCGGAGGCTCAGCTCACCTGTGGGTGCAGCGTGGCCTAGTGTGTGACGTGGTGCATGGGGCGGGCACTGTGTGCCCTGCAGGGGGGCATATGAGGCACATCTGTGGGTCTAAAACGGGCTCCCTCTGTGGAGGGGAGAAAGGGTCGGACGAGAGCAAGGCCTGGGGAGTCATCTGGGTTGGGCCTGCCTCCTGCCCTGTCCGTCCTGCCCCAATTATAGCGAATGAGGTCCTGCAGGTCCCCGAGCT